AATAGCCTGTCAGTGGGTTAAATTTCAGCTGTCAAGGTGAGACTGCCTCTCATTCAGACATGCCCAAAGGTTATAAGTCAAGGCCTAAAACATAAGCAAATGCAAAGAGAAGTTAGCACCTCCAAAGAATCACTACTAGTATTATCTTACATAGATGCCTAAAGAACGCCTTTTGAGCAGCGATTGATAGAAGAAAAAAATAAAACATTTAAACGTGAAATTATTCAGTTGAAAAAGCAAACAAACTTAGCCATGGGCCTTACACTGAGAGCACAAGGCGGACCTCTAGTTCACTGCCCCTGCTGGCAGAAAACTAATAAATCTGACTCAAACCCAGGGCTTTAGGATTCAAATAAGCTTCTGGGAAGAAAGTTACTCAATCAAGAAGGAAGACACAAAATGGATGGTTTATTGAACCAACTCAGAAAAAAAAGAATGTTTACACGAAGTATGACCTTTTTTCAGTAAAGAAATCATCTGATTTTAAGTTGTGTCTGAAACTAGGCAATCAATGGGCAGCTGTTTGGTTTCTAAATCTACCCAGAGCTGTGTCTTAGTACCTGAGAAAATTAAGACACCTTGCGCGAGTGGGCTGTCCTTGCATCAGGTTTCCCCTGGATGCACGTGACCATCAGCGCCCTCTGCTAAGTCAGGAGACAGGAGAAAGGAAAAACTCCACAGACCACAGTTATCAAGCCAACTGAGGTGAACAGGCGGGAAACAGTCAACTGTTGAAGAGCTAGAACACCTCTAGAAGGAAGATGCCTCCTTTTCCAAACCAATCTATAATCATGATGGAGTTAAAAAGTCCTTCATAGTCCTCTCTGTAGCCAAACACTTGGAATGCTGTGGCGGTTTATCTTAGTAATAACAGAAAACCAAGTCCAGAAACGTGATCCAGCCCATACAGGAAACAATTATGAACTCTAGATAAGAGCTTAAAGATGACTCAGGACCTCAGCAGGTGAGTAGAAGCTTTCTGCCGTAAGCCACCTCACAAATGAATTATCAGAAACTTAGAAAATACTTGAACTTTCTAATATGATGAACAACATACAGAGAATGCAATCCTTTACGCAACTCGGAAAGAGCTTTCATGATCTCAAGATGATGATAGGCTGAAGGGGGCAGGGAAGAACTCCTGAAACACCCAAAAAAGGAATACTGCAAGATATAGTCAATGGTCTTATAAAGAAAGTATCTTAAGTTTGCAGAGAATTAACATCAGGGCTTACCTGAGGAACACCTGACTTGGCAGGGGGAGAAGAACAATGGCTAATACACTGCACCATAATCCATCTCCCTCCTACAAGGTGAGTGCCCTGGAATAAGGGCACCAACCCTTTACCAGTATTCATTGTCAGGAAACATCGAATAAATTCTAAAGTTTTAAAAGCTATGAAAAAGGAAAATCTAAGAAGACCGATGCCAGGCTGACAACAATGAAAACATAAACTCTTGGTCAAAAGCCATCAAATATCGAAGGACGCCTTTCTACAGCCTTCAGAAACAATTCACAGGCCACAGTGATACTACAGAGTTAATTTTCGCCTGGAAAAGAAGTCCCATGCAGTTCGGCCTTGGCTGAGACAGTGGCACTAACTGGTAAGAGGTGGTTATGCTGACTGCTATGCTTTTTAAAGATTTCATTTGCCTTTAACTGCTGAAACTGTGCAAGCCAACACAATGTTGTGACATTGACATAAAATAAAACCAGCCGAATCTACAGGCAGTATTTTTAAAGAGTTCTTTAGAAAATATCAAGCAAGGGCAGTACCTGCAGCTCAGTGGGTAGGGCACTGGCCACGTATGCCAAGGCTGGTGGGTTCGAACCCGGCCTGGGCCAGCTAAAACAACAATGAAAAAATTGCAACAAAAAAGTAGCCAAGCATTATGGCAGGCGTCTGTAGTCCCAGCTACTTGGGAGGTAGAGGCAAGAGGATCGCTTAAGCCCAAGAGTTTGAGGTTGCTGTGAGCTGTGACACCACAGCACTCTACCCAGGGCAACAGCTTGAGACTCTGTCTCAAAAAATAAATAAATAAAATAAAAATAACAAGCAAATAAGAAGGCTCTCTTATCAACTGAGCCTATACCAAACTGGTCATGGACACTTAATTCCAGAAACCGAAAATAGGTACCCCTAAAGCTAAAGGGCTTCCAGGGAAAGGGAAAAAGCACCTTGGGATTTTTCAAAGGTGTGCAAGAATTCAGAGACCAAGACTAAGAGGGACGTTTCCAGCTTTTTACCTAAATTTCCACAAGATATCTTATGTTTGGACTATTAGACTGTCGAATCTGAGTATCATTTCCCACTTCAGGAAAATGACCAAAGGCAACAATTTTAAAAGAAATTCCCACACACACCCCCAGCAATAAAGCTGGCAGCTATGAATAAGCACACCCATTTCGTTCTAAAAGTTTTTCAAAGAACAAGCACTACACACAGAATCACAATTTTTATATCACTTAGTAGGAAGGAGACTTTGCGTAAAATGGGTAATTTAAAAAAAAAAAACAATCTCAAAGCAAGTTAAAAATCTCTTTAACAAACCTTAGACATCTTGACCTAAGAAAATTGAAAGCTATAATAGAAAAAGAACTGAAATCTTAGTGCCTATTCTTGATTTTAAAATCGTGTCTACCGGGAGGTGCCTATGGCTCAAAGGAGTAGGAAACCGGCCCCATATGCCAGAGGTGACAGGTTCAAACCCAGCCCCAGCCAAAAACTGCAACAACAACAAAAAATCTTATCTACCTCAAGTCCACATAAACTGCTTGCTATGTTGAATATTTAAGTGGATAGATGTTCTTAAACATTGTGTGAAATCAAAATAAAGGGGTGATCAGCATGCAGGCAGCACATACCCGAGGCTGTGCACCTGTCATTTAGCCTTCTAATTCTACTTTCAGGGAGAATTGGGGTGGGGGGGGGGGGGGGGAGAAACATGTACTTCAATCTTACCTCCAACAAACACCTACATTTTTTGGTAAGACCATAATTAAAACAGTGCATAAAATACTTGGTACCTTTTTTGCCAAAATAGCAAGTGGTTTATTTCCTGCTAAGTCCGAGAACCAACTGTGAATGGCACTCTGGGATCGAGGAGTGACCAGCCAATAGTTATCTTTCGCATTAACTTGTGGTTTCTTCTTTCCGGTGTCCTGGAAAGTGTTAAGCTTCAGTTTCTCGGCTAATATGCTGCTGAAATAAGCTCCAATCTGTAGAAAGAGGAAAAAGAAAAGAAAAAAAAAAAAATTAAACAATAAGCATCTTAGTACTGTGCATTAGTATTTTATCTTCAAAACTTAAACAATAAGCATCTTAGTACTGTATTATTAGTATTTTATCTTCATTGTGTTAACTAAAAACCTTCACACAGCCCATCAGGAAAGAAATTGCAAACTAAGTCCTTGAAGCCAAGAGCTGTGATTTCCTTGGGCTAACATGTTGTGAAAACTCCTATCACTCTTATTCCACTATTACCAGGTAATTCAAGGAAAAATGAGAGCCCTTAGAAATCTCTGGTAAGATGAAATTAACTACATCCTGAATAATTCAAGAGAAGGGGTTCTGCCTTAACTCTTCAGCTATACTTTTTCATATTACACACTGGTCAAAGAAAAAAATGTTTTTCCTAAGGGGAGTGATGTACAAGAGCAGAAAGTCTCAAAATCACATGGTCATCATTCTTTCTCGTTTCATCTTAATAGCACATGTTTGTGTAAAAGAAACTCTGTATTTATGCTCAACATTTTAAAAAAAAAAGCCTAGAGAATTTTATCTAAATCACAAATCAATCAAATTTGGTATTTGACACTTTGAATACTGCTGCCAATTTCATGAATATGTTTCAACAGAAAGCTGGTGTTACCTCCTCTGAGTAGGGAAAATTGGAGAAAGGAGCTTCCGCAAATTACTCTCCATTTTTATATTAGCCAAATTAAAAAAGAAAAGAAGCAGAAAGGAACAGGAAGGAAAAGACAAAAAGAAAGAAAATAAAATAACATCTACAAGTTCATTGAATCTATAGAAAACCTATTGAAATTTTCAAGAATACTATGAAACCACCCCATTTCAGACCCTGGAATTCTGTAATAATATGACATAGTCAATTTCTAATAACACTGATGCGATTAAGCAACTGTGACTAAAATATCTACCTTGGTGAAACAAAATAAGAATGACCTTAGTTAATATTCTTGAGTCAATAATAGTCTGTTGGTTAGAACACAGTTATAAGCCATTAGCCAAGTTTATCAACCAGTGTGAAAAACTGGCACACCTATTTCTAATGTGAAGTGATATTCCTTGATCCCTGTGATTGATGTAAGATTAAAAAGTCTGGTTTTCTATGTTGATGTGATATAGTAATCAAAATTAGATTAAGTAGAAAAAAAGTCTGAGGGTTTTCCTTTTTCTTATTTTTTTTTTTTAGATAAACAACTTTATTGTAGCTTTCATGAGTTTTTTTAAGCAAATGTTTGCAGAATGTCCAAACAGTGAATGAATTAAGTGCAAAAGTGTAACAAAAGCAGTTGTTTAGAAACAGGCAGCCAATAGCAGCCCATTGTTTAAGTTTCTCAATT